CCATCTAAGAACTCTATTAACCATTTTATATATTTATTTTTAATGTATTTATGGTTTTTCCATGAATAATATATTACCATAATATCTGCTTTGATAATAGATAATTGGCATGTTAACATTTAATGGGCAGAAATACGTCCATAACTTTAAATAGATAAATAGAAAATACACATTTAGTAAATACATTAAAACGGATCATATTTTGGTCTTCACTGTGCATATTTTGTAGATTGATTTGTTAACAGATACCAAAAGAAGATTTTTATGAAAAACTCTATAAAGTTGTAGTTATTCCTATTTTGTTGGAGTCTTTGTCCCAAATCTATGTTATACAGTTTGGCTTATTTCCTAAAATTTGTTAAAAACCGTTTTTGCAACTTTCTCTTAGATCAAAATATTCGCGTTTTGTGCTATAATACGCATTGTTTTAACTAGCCGTGCCTTACCTTTATCAGATTTTTCACTGCACTATAGGTAGTTTATCTGTAGTCTTCAATTATTTATATTGTAACAAAGTATTTATTAATTTTATTAACAAAGTGGTCATTTTTATGTTTATATTTTGCTACTCTGTAAATTTCCCTCGTGGCTTATCTTTTGTTTACTATTCATAGTTTGTTCTTGCCTGAAATATATTGTTGTCTCATCCCGAAGTTGGTCTTCCCTAATTTTCCACGTGGCAATATATTTAAGAGATAGCGCTAGAAAAATTTCAAATTTCAGCGATAGATGGCGTTAACTTAGAGCATAGTTAATTGACAATTCAATGAATATAGGAATAGTGAAGATAACGATTTCTGTGTGAATAAAATGAATAAAAATATTTCGAAGGATTGCTATCTATTTCTCACTTTATGGATTAATTCATTAACAAACGTTAAACATTTTTCAGACGAACCTTTTGAACTTATTTTCTAATAGCCAACTACCGTGAAAATTTTAATGAATTAATCCCATCAAACGAGCGGTTATCAACAAAGGTTTCTGATGTACAATTTGTCCCTTAATTTATCGAATTAATTCCTATAATTTTACTTAGGTCTTTTCTTTCCTTTTTTCAACAGTTCTTTCAATTATTGTATAAAATTGAATTGTGCTTTGATCATCATTGGAACTATTATATATATATTAAAAAGAAAAAGGTCTCTCCTTGTGCAACTGTAAGTTGCTGATGGTTTGTGCCATCTCTCGAAATAAATATCAATTATTATCGCTAATTTTTAATTATTCCAGATTTGGACAAATACCCATTCTTGAATAATCAAGAAAAGCTTGGGTATTTGGTCAATTCTGGAATAATTTTTAAAAAACGAGAATAGTTGATATTTATTCCGATAGAGGGTGCAAGCCATCAGCAAATTCCAGTTGCACAATAAGGAAATGTATTTTTCTTTTTCATAATTTTTGCACCTTATTCCAATAAAATATCACCTATTTACTATTTTTTTTACATATATACAATTAAACATCGTTCTATAATCATAGCCGCATTATATTGTATTACAAATATAGTTACACTAGATGTGATCTAGACAGCTTCATTATTAATTTTTCTATCTAGAATCTTTTATTTCCTATGTGTTTCACAAACTATTTCATATTGAGAGCGATAAAAATTGTTGATTAAATCTCTAATATACACTGGCCCGCAAAATTAAAGGAACAGCATATTTTTTCCATATATCTCAAATTTTATCGAACATTTATCAATGAAATTTTATATACAAATTTATTATTTCATTATTGATTAAAATACCCGAAATCAAAGAAATCGAACACGTATTTTGCGGACCAGTGTATATTAAAAGATTTATTATCATTTTAAAAATTTCAGTTTTCATTTGCCTTCTAATATAAATATGTTTTGAGAAAATGAAGGTAAACACAATTTGGACTATTTGAATATATGCATATTCACTAATGTTGATATTAAATGGCACAGGCCTTGATAACCATGGTGCGTAAAAGTTGGCCACTGCTTTTACTGTATGTACACTTGTGTCAGAGACTGCGTTTGGTTACTTGCAATCGCTGGTGGGGTTGTAATTTTGTAAAAATAGGGGTCATTGGAGCATATTTTTCTTTTAATGATATAAAAGTGCCCAATGCAGGATTAGATCCTGGGGTGTAGCAGTCGAAAACCAACGGTTTAGATCATCCTTCCACCGACCCCCGTATAAAGGTCAAATATCTTGACCATAACGTTCCTGAAAATGAAAAAAAAATTCACGTAGAAAATTAGAAAAGATAAACTTCAGGATTACACAATATTATTTTTAAGGCAAACACAAATTTGATAAAATATAAGAGAAGCAATGAAGGTAGTTTACATAAAGTAATTAATATATACAGTTATCAGTGTCATAATCAATTCTGTCACCGTTTACTTTGTGAATGGAATAAATACCCAAATATGGCCATTTCTCATAACCATCGGTGGTTCAGTGGTAGAATGCTCGCCTGCCACGCGGGCGACCCTGGTTCGATTCCCGGCCGATGCATTTTTTTTTTTACAATTTTAAAAACTCATTTATCTATATAGATAATACCGTAACAGAGTTTTCCATTGTAAAGTCCTAAGCTATCTCCTCCGAAGATTCTGAACTACACATAACGATCTATATACCAAAATTTTCGTTATTTTTTTCTTCGTATGTTAGTTCTGTTTTTATTTTCCTAATGTTAACAGTTATTTTTATTTTTTAATTTAATCTATTTACAATCGTAGATTTTTTGCGTTTATCATCATCAATTCCTTTGTTTTGAAAGCGCGTTCTTTTTATTCTAGCATTTATTTCTTTTATATTTCTTTATATTGTATAATATTACTAATAAAGCGAAAACCAAAGGTATATAGCTATATATTTATAATATATTTATCTTTTTTTTTTGAGGAAATTATATATCTTTTATACAAGATAATAAGATTACTTTGCAACATTGTTTATGCAATGATTATTTAAATTATCAAGATCTCTTTAAAAATATTTACATTAATTACATAAGAGGAAAAAAAGGTATAGATGATTATTTTTTTTCGCCTAAATATTTTTTTCCAACTCTGAAGTGAAACTAAGATTTTTAAAAACCTTTGTGCATAAAATTTTGCATAATGTTGTCATGTAGTTTGATTGTTGACAAAAATCTTTGAAGAATTTATATATTTAAAAAAATATTTTATCTAAACCTTCCAAGGACAAACAATATTAATTTTAAATTTCCTGAAGTATTTAAATATATATACTCTAAGCATTTCACGAATAATTTACAAGTCATTTAATTATTTAAATTATTACAAAATTGTTACAAAAAAATAGAAAATTGGTTAGGCGTTGATAATAAACACACACACACACAAAAGCTTTATTAAGGACTTGCCCCATATAGATTCTCCCAATTGGGTAAGATAATAATCATCTTGTGTTATTTACATAGAAATTAAACTGGCTTTACTCTTCGTCTCAAAGTCATTCACTTGTTGACTGTTCCTTACATAATGATGATCTAAAAAAATTATAATAAGCTATTGCCTTAGATTTATTTGCTGATATTTTTGAAAGCAATACGTAGGGTGAAATGTTGGTACATTTAATTTGTTGATATAGGGCCTTCCTCTCTGCATCAAGGGATGTACAATTAAGCAGGTAATGGGGGAGTTCTTCAGTAATTTCTTTGTCACACAGTGTACATATTAAGTTTTTGGCCTCGAACGTCAGAGCGTGTTTTTTTTAAGACTGTTTTTCACCTTTCTACAGCCAGCCAGCTAGCTGGGATATTAAAAATTTGTTAATTTTGTTACATTAATTTTTTTTTTTGTATTCCAATAAGGAAAGAAATAAAATTGGATACAATAATTCATTTTTAAAAATTAATAAATTCGGAATTAAACACAAGGTAATAAGACCAAATTCAAATAAATAAATTGTGTGTGATATTTAAATAACAGGGTTGATACCATCTTCAGACCAAAGTTTGTCATGTTTCAGTATTTTTGTCCTGAAGATGGTAACAACGCTGTTACCAAAATGTCACACACTTATTTATTTATTTGGATACAGTCTTATTACCTTTTGTTTATAATCTATAACCCAAATTTTACCTTATCAAATTCTAAATTATTCAATACAAATTTTTGCTACTAAATATTTTGCAATGCAATTAATAAGCGATTTTCGGACAAAGAAATATACCCACTTTGACATTTTAAAACATCTTGTTTTGTTTTCTAACTGCTTCTCAAATGATAATTTATTCATGTTGAAATTCAATCCTCTTATTATATAATTTATTAAATTGTGAGGAATAAAGGTTCATAACTTTTCATTTCTTAATCAACAAGATGATAAGGCACAATTTGGATTATAGATTTTAAACCCATTGTAATAATACCAAATCTAAATAAATAAATAGTGTGTGATGTTTCAGTAACAGCATTGTTACCATCTTCAGACAAAAGTACTGACAAAAGTATCATTCAGTACTTTTGTTTGAAGATGGTAACAACGCTGAAACGTCACACACTATTTATTTATATGGATTTGGTTTTATTACCTTGTGTTTATAATCAACAAGATGTTTTAATGGTAGTCCCACAACATATTGAGTGGGAAGTGATGTCACATTAATATATACTGTTATCAGCGTCATGCACAATTCTGTCACGTTAAGTCACGTGTCAAGTTACGGTAAGTAAAAATTTAAAAATAAAAAAAAGATGCCGAAACCCGGGATCGAACCAGGGACCTTTAGATATTCAGTCTAACGCTCTCCTAACTGAGCTATTTCGGCTTATTTTATTTATTTCTATAGAAGCTTCTATCTTTATAATTATGTATATTTTCAAAAAGTCAATTCACACCTCTTCTCTGGAGACCATGGGAATACTGACTAATTCATTATGCTAACATAATTATAAATACAAGTATCAGAGTCATCAACAATTCTGTCATCGTTTGCTTTTGTGAATGGAATAAATACCCAAATAGGGCCATTTCTTATAAGCATCAGTGGTTCAGTTGTAGAAAGCTCGCCTGCCACGCGGGCGGCCTAAGTTCGATTCCCGGCCGATGCATTTTTTTTTTTTACAATTTTTAAAACTCATTTATATTATTATCCCTATATATATAAAAGTCAGCGTATGTATGTATGTTTGTCAACTATACACGTCCACAATACGTAACTAATCTGACTGAAATTTTAACAGTATATAAAGTAGAATCTGGAAAAACTCTTAGTGAAAATTTCAGGTTTCTATCCCGAATATCCGTCGTGTTATTTGCAAATTTGCTCTTTCGCTCGCGCCTCTAGCGGTGAAAATGGGGGGTAATACCAGCTGACCTAATGTACATGTAAAGTTTGGAACGGGACGTTTCACAAGATTGACATCCACGGCTCCAATTTATAATTGTAACGAATAGTATTTGAATAAAAACATTTAATCGGGTAAAACCCGGGCGTTGCCCGGGTCATTCGGCTAGAAATGCAGTTTTTAGTGAGGTCCATTAAATGAATTTATCCCTTTTATGTTATCTTATTTTCTATATTGAAAAGTAAATAAATATGAATAAAAATTTAAAATGTTTAAGAATATTATTAAAAAAGAATCATGAAGATATTTTAAAGGAGTCCTTTAGGAATGTCTGTTTTTGCACTTATGATTCCAGAGTTACATGGTCCAGTGGGCCGTATGAAAATCGAGTTGTTCATATAAAAACATGTTTAAAAAATGCTATTTTCTTTTAATGTAATCTATATAGCTTGAAATAAATAAAAATAATGGCTGCTTGAACTCGGTCGCATGTGACATTTTACAGGTACATTGAGACAGCTGACATTCCCCCCAACCCAACCCACTGATAAATAGGCAAGAAGGTATGGGAAAAGATCCCAGTAGACGCGAATTCGCGTTGGTAGCCTACAATTTTATGTTAATTTTTAGAAATCAGGGACATGAATTCGCATCCTTTAGGCTTGACACCCTATAAGTGAGGATATGAATTTGCGTTATATGGGTTCAAAATGTTTCGTTGCTCGCATCTATAATACCTTTTTATTAGTAAAGTTGTAAGTAAACATCAATCGTCGAAATTTGCATTTTAAAATGGTTGAATTATCAGAAGTGGTGAATAATTAATATTGTCGAATTACCGTTTGTTATTTGATAGGCCAGAGATTGGGAAATCAAATCAGGGTCGAATTATCGCAAGGTGTCGAATTATCGGTATTGTCGAATTACTGTTTGTAATTTCATAGGTTCTGGAAATCAAAACATGGTCGAATTAACGAATTTATACTTAGAAAGTATTTTTACTTATCCTTACTTGAAATGCTGCTTCTAGGAAATCGGAATATACCCATTGCGATTTTTAAGCCACCATCTATACTTTTAAAGTCTCTGCAGGCCCTTTGGGTAAACCCTGGGCGTTGCCCGGGTCACTCGGCTAGTATATTATACAAGAATGACATCCACGGCGCCAATTTAAAATTGTAACGAATAGTATTTGAATAAAAGCATTTAATCGGGTAAACCCGGGCGTTGCCCGGGTCATTCGGCTAGTAAAATATAAAACATCAAAATTAATTATCTGTTAATGGAATAATAAAACCTTTAATACATAGATCCTTCCTATTGGAGCTGTGATCTACAGATTGCAAAATTTGTAGATAGTGACATCTGTCTAAAACGGGTCAATTTTCTATTACTAATATTGTTACGTGATTAATAAAGTGTTTACTTTCTTTTGGCTTTTGTTCCTATCAATTATTATCACAATTAGTTATTGATCAATGTCATTTAAATCACGTGCAGTCAAGATTTCTCTACGAATGCTCAGTTTAGCTGTTACGTCGTTGTTATATGTACCAGACTTTCTGTCCAATTGTGCCTCTGGTCACGTAACTCCACATTACCAATGGGAATAGCTCCTCTCAGTGGATTATGGCCATAAAGCTACAGTTAATAGAATAAAGTCTCTTCTATCATGTTATTCTATAACATCGATCTATTTGTTTTACTATTATTGTTATATGATGCACTAGCGCGTCATCTGTTATCAAAATTCGAAACTATTTTAAAGGCGTAAGATTCTTTTTGAAATTATACAATTTCTACTGCCCTTAATGCAATGGAAAAATTAATGGGAGGGCCTGGCTCATCAGTGGCGAACCCCTCCCAGCGATTTTGCCAGTTTAATCTACCATACCGGTATTATATTGCATTTTTGGAACTTCCTTTTATAGTGATACTGATGATAGACTCTTGGAATTAATGTTATGAATGGAATAGCTATTAATAGTAATCTTTAAAATTATTACGAGGAATTGCTCTTTCTTGGCAGTTCATTGATTCTGTATAATGTTGATCAAAAGGACAAATATTATAAAATATTAAAAAACCTACTGAGATGAAAGGAGGTTTCTTAAAGTAAAAAGAGAGAATTTCACTATGAAGAGATGCAATGATGAATTTGAACTATTTTATAGAAATATAAGATTAAAAAATACGTATGTTACAAAAATATTATATTGTTATCGTGAGTAAGCAATTTTGGATTAAAATTATGGATTAATAAATATTTTGAGCGTTATGATATTTGTTCTCAATATCATTAACCCTTTATTCGAAATCAGTTATTTCTTCATTTGACACTAATAGCTACTTATTTTGGAGAGGTAATGTAAGCCAATACATGTGTGTTTTCTTCATTCTTTGAATCCAAGGATGTATTCTCAAGTTTGTTTTCCTCTTTCAATTTAACTTGAACGGACACTTCAAATGTCACAAGTTTGTGGCCCTCAGCCTCCTCCATCGTGCCATCAAGGTTAGTTTGAACTGCCGCATCGCGGTTCTTGATACGTTGAAGGTGACACCACCGTCCTTGTCGTAGATGAAATTGGTCTCAATTTCGCTTGGGGAAGCATCGAAGCAGCTGCCTCTATCACCTTCTTGTTCAACCAGCGCTAAATATCACAATATCTTAATAACACAATTTATGAAAATTTGATTCATATTCATTAGAGTAAAAAGTTGTTTTTTCATATATAACTTCAGAAATATTTTATTTTCAGATCAATCAAAGTGAAAATTTATTAATTATTAGAACTGGCTGTCGTTCTAAATCCTTTCCAAGAAATAGAACTCTATTGCTAAAGTAGTAATACTAGTAAAATGTTGTTCCATGAAAATCCAGGTCGTTATCTAAGATAAAAGGGGGAAAATAAAATCATACAACTCCCTTCCTATTCCCCTAATATAAAGGTATATATTGTAAAATAGATGAAAAACTATCCGAGAAGCCAGGAAATCAGGGTAAAGTTGCGGGAAGATAGGTGGACTCCAGCTGCCGGGTATGTCTCAAGGTGACAAGCGCCAAAAAGCTGTTCACATCTATGTCGAGTGGAAGGTTTCAATGATGATATGATGAAAATATCACGCCTTCTATACATGTGTATACCAAAGATATTACATATTTGATGCCATTATTTTTCAAAATGCTTCAAAATAAAATGTTAAAGTCTTTTATAATTTTTTATATAGAATATTGAATTTATATTATTTTTAAATGTTTTATATGATTTAATTTAACTATATATTGAAAAAATAGTAATATTTTCTACAAATAATAAGTTTTTGCATGAAATTCCTGGTAATATATAGATAAAAGGGCGAAAATGCAATCATATAAAACCCTGCCTACTCCCCTGATATGAACATATATATTATAAAATGGATGCCAAGCTATAAGAAAAGCTAAGATTCGAGAGAAAGTTTGACGGAAGAGGGTGCATTCCAGCTGCGGAAATGGCTATGTGTCAGAGGGACAGGCGCCAAAACCGGCATACATGTGTGGGGCGAACAGAGGCTGGTCACATCTACATCTAGAGGAAACGTGGCATGTTGCCTCCGGACGTGTGAAAGATCATTCAAGATGGTGTCAGGAGAGTTTGATATTGGAGCGGCCTACAAGATGGTGTAGTCCCGGCTGAACATGTACAGTGTGAAGGGGGAAGTTTCAAAATAGTGACTTCCATACCGCCAAGTATCTTAAAGGCGAGTCCCATTTATTGTACTCCTTGTGTTTAGTAACAGGTATAAAAAAGCCCTAACCTTTTTTGCATCCCATAAGAACTTAGGAATGTACATTTGCGGCATATTGATCAGCCAAAGAACATATATGCGTCTAGGTACAACGTAACAATATTATAGATGCTTGTCAGGTATATCCTCTTTATAATTCCAAAATTAGATGTATTTTTTCATATTTTTAATTCATATAATATGAATTTACAATTTGGGGTTTCAAATGATTTTGGGATTTTGAAAGTCAGTGTTATTTTCTTAGAATACAAATTTATATTATTTGTTGATAATGGATTCGCCGCCAGGAGGCCAAGGCAAGCGGCCGCATTGTTAAAGCGGATAATTACTGAAAAAAAAGGGGAAAAGCTAAGTTATAACTTATTTAGAAGATAATAATAATAAAACTGTTGTAGGGACGAGATAAAAATTCCGAAATTTGCATACTTGTTGCTAGTTCTCCATATCATAATTTGTTTCAAACGGCCAGAATACCTAATACAAGAGTTTGTTAAACGCAAACTGAGAATGTATCGGAAATCAAACGATGGATTTGGATGTGATGGCACTCCTATACTACTACTACTGAACATATCCAGTGGCTATTGTATCCAGGTCATTTGGTTACTCCTAATGATCAGTGGTATTGAGCCTAACCCTGGCCCCAAAAAGCAGACAACTTTGTTAACAGAGCTAACCCCCACAGGGAAGGAATCGGCTGATACTGAGTTGAAGACAATGATCGTCCAAATGTCATCAGAGATCAGAAATCTTGGCGAGAGAATAGATACGATATTGTCAAACATCGAGAAAAGAATGATAGAGTGGGACCAGAGACTTCTTGGAGTTGAAATGAAGTTAACAACTTGTGTGGAAACCTCGGCTGCTACGAACGAGAAAGAGTCTGAGAATGTAACTAAGTTAAGGGAAATTGAAGCCAGGACCGACTTTCTGGAGATGAAGCTGCGGGAGCCAAATCTCGTTTTCTACGGAGT